GCACATGGACACAAATGGAGACCCTGAAAGCTACTTACCCATGTTTACTATACACAGGCTGTCGCATGTATCCGAGCGGGGCATTTTCCCCTTGGTTGCCTTTTCCCTCATCACACGATGTGAGTTTGCACAGAACAATCTCGAGACAAAAGATAGAGGTTTTTTTCAAAGGAGGAATACACCAAATATTGGTTTATTCTAAAAACAACTATTAATACAGAAAAACAATCAATGTGTGGTGAGTGTGATTCTTACCTGTGAACACCTTCACACAGTCGACACATGTAGACTCATAACACACATCTGACCCATTAGGAATAACATAGAACCTTAGTTATTGCAACAATCATGAAATTATACTCTATGGATTTCACAAAAAAATTGACTGCATTATGCCAAGGTAAATGTATTGTTAATTATCATATGGCTGGTTTTAATGTTTATAAGAAATAGTAAGAAATTGTAAAAGAAGTTGCAAGCGCTAGGTAGCTTGCTACCAGCCGATGAATGGTCGTATTTAATATTTGCAGCTAACAATAACAAAAATAACGGGACTGTAGATGGCTCATTTGAACAGCCACAGCAGTGAGACGAAGTGGAAAGTCTTTTTTTCTGGAGGGCACATTGAAGACCTGGGAAGCCATTAAAATCCATTTATTAAACAAAGCCACTACATGAACATTAAACTCTCTTTCTGCAGCAGGGTAACATCTGTTGTGCCTCCTATGGTCCCACTTGGTCCCACACCTGGAACTCAAACTCCAACTGATGGACATTCACATGTGTCTAAATGATGGGAGTGTTCCCAAATATTAAAGCTGGATCTCCCTGTTTTTGAATACCTTAGGTTTACTAAGTACTGATGGTCTTTTTCGCAGGGGGGGGGGGTGGGTTCATAGAACATCCTCTGTGAAGTATACAGTAACTTTACTTATCGAATTGAATTATTATTTTATAAAACTCAAGAATCCGAATCTTTAACCTTTTTTAACACATACTTTGTGGGGACAGTCTAATTCCTAAGACATTCTAATGTGTGAAAAAATAGTTTGAAATATGAAAACACATATCATATTTTAAGCTTTTATCTTAAACACAAAAAATCATAGGGAAAATGATAAACAGATATGTAATTCCAGTATTAAAAGAAGCCGTGTTTGCTGATTTTGTACATTAGACTAAAAAAATTATTCATAAAAGCAGCTCGAGAACAGGTGGGTTCTTTAAATGGATGCAAACCAAACTGAGGTTGTTTCAGCTGATCTGTGGCCTTTCTGGGAGTTTGTTCCAGGACATGTGGGAGCAATTAGGAAGCTGACATGCAGCTTCTCCGTAGTAGTTGGTTCAGGACTCTGGACTCGGGCTCCACGATGACATGAGGGGTTCTGGATGGTTTCATTACGTTGATGAACACAAGGCACTCCACCACCCCCTTTTGGCACATGTTCGTTAAGGCCCAGCAAAACAGTGACAATCTTTAATCATAAAGGACATTACTGGTTATTCACCCACACCCTGAGCGACGCATTATGCACAGGTACAGTAGAATGTAAGAAATTTAGATCTTAGTTCGCGCCCCACACCCCTCAACCCTCTCCCACGTGC